GGAGAAGCAGGCTTCCGGCGGAGCAGGGAGCCCGATGCGGGGCTCGATCCCAGGACCCTGGGATCATGACCTGAGCTGAAGGCAGACGCTTAACCACTGAGCCATTCAGGCACCCCGAGCCAAGAAAATTTTAAAAAAGACTTTGTGTAGCAACTTGCCTTTCTGAATATTAAAATTCATATTAAAAGCTACACTGGTAAAAGCAGTATGTTGGCATGGGAACTGATAAATATGTTCATGGATATGTCTATATATTCATATATAAAATAGTGTATTAACAGATCCAAATATATACATAAAACTTAATAAATGACAAAAATGTCTTAATTAAATGGGAAAATGATGGTATATAAATAGTACAGACATACTTTGCTGTTTATCTGGATGAAAACAGAGCCCTAGAGGGATTAAGGCTCTGGATGTTCATAACTAATATAAATTAACAGCACTGAATTTCAGAGAAGAAAAATTAGATAAATTTATTTTTATAAAATGCTAAAAACTGAAAAACAAAATTTATAATAATTTATATACTAAAAATAAAAGTTGTAACCTGACAAATAGCCAGTATTTCTATTATATAAATAACCTCTAAAAATTGACAATAAAAGACAAACAACTCAAGGAAAAAGGGGCAAAACATATGAAGGCAAGTATGTGGACAGGAACATAAGTGGCTAAAACTCATGGAAAATATGCTTTTCTCTTCTAGTAATTAGGAAAATGAAAAGAAAAACAAAATTACATATTCTCCCCAACACGTTGGCAGAGATAAAAAAGAGCAATCATCTTTATTGGTCATGAGGTTATATAAAGGAAAAGAGGACATTCATTTATTTACTATGGAATATGAATTACTACAGTTTATTTTTTTGGCAAGAAATCTAATAAAAAACCCATCATTTTATTCAGGTTAATATAGTGTTGTTTATAGAAGTACAAACATATAAATTCTGAAAAACCATCAGCTGGGAAATATTTGATTAAATTATATATTTAATATTCAGCAGGTATTTAAAAAAATTAGGTTAGAAACATCTGAATTAACTTGGGCAAATGTCCATGATACATTAAGCTAAAAAATCAAGTTGTGCCCTGTGTTCCCATGTTTATTTAAAAAAACACAAAAATAAAACAAAAATAGCAACCAACCAAAAAAAAAAAAAACAAAAAAACCACCAAACCAGCCTGTATGTATGTATTAGGATAGATTTAGGTACATATCAAAATTTTAATATTGGTTATCATAGGAGCAGGGCACTAGATGGTGTGTCTATGGTTTAACTGCCTTTGTAATAAAAGTAATTGATCTCCCCCTAATTTTATTGAGATATAATTTACATGTAACATTGTATTAGTTTCAGATGTACAACGTAAGGATCTGATGTATGTATATATTGTGAAATGATTACTATAATAAGTGGACATCCATCACCTCACACTGTTACAAAATTTTTTCTTATGATGAGAAAAATAGCTTAATATTTTAGAAGGTTGGCAACTGTGGATAAGTCCAAAGAGCATGAAGTAGGAGGTGTAGACCTAATCCCACCCCTAACTTGCAATGTGACACTTTCTGCCTTGATCTTCTCATCTCTCATGTGTGAGTGGTTGTAACCACCCTACTGGTCAGGCTACAGTGTTGTTGTAGAGATAAAATGAGGGATGAAGACAAACATAATTTGAATAGTTGAAAGATGTTGAAATGCAAGCTATTATCCTTAAGAAAATTCTCAAACATTCTCAATTTATATGATGCAGGTGACAAAATCATCTGAGGAAGCATCTTCCCTTCCCAATGGCGATGTAGTGGGAGAGGTACAGGGCAGCACAGAGGTAAGAGTTAGTATCTTGAACCATCTTCCCCCAGACTAGCTTCCTCAGAATGTCTACTTGGTTCTCATTTTTCTTTTT